CTTGATTGTTTAGTCACATGAAAGGGGACAGGGAGGGCCAGGTGCATTAGTGAGGTACGGAGGTTCTGTTTAAACAAGGGTTGTTAATCATGGATAATCACGGTTCATGTTCAAACTGAACATGAACTAAAACAGTGTTCACCAAGGCTTGAAGGTGAAAATGTGCCAACCAGGGGACTCGAACGAGTGACCTCTCCAAAACCGAGGAAATCAGAGAGAAAGCACCATAACCACTAGGCCATGCAACCATTGCAAACTGGCTACCAGCCTGGAATAAACCAGGCAATAATTAACATTTTGGACTTAGACTTTTTGCAACCAACTTACAACACAGACAAGAACTTTTTTGGTCTCCACTTTAATTTTCTGCTCACCAATAACACTGGTACATCCAAATAAGTGGGATGATCATTGAGATCTTCATTTCACTGATGCAAGTTCACTGTGATAAACTTATAGGCTAGAAAAAAAATATGGGTCTCACAGTATTCAAAGTGTAGGAATTTGGACAATGATACAATTTAAATAATGCTCTAAATGGTAGGGACCTGGATGATTCAAGAAACTGCAAGAGTCCTTTTGAATGTGCTGTTGAACATATTGCCCACTGTGCATGAACTGTTCATAGCTTTACTTTCATACAAGTGGCTGCCAATTGATTGCTGATCATCACATGGTTCCCAACAATTTTGTTAGGTAGGAGAGTGCAACCGTGATCTGGACAGCACTCCAAAAGCTGTTGTGGGCCTTACCAAATTGTGTTCAATCTGCTCACTATGCTACAGCATGACACACTGTGAACAGTACTTCTCTCAAATTCTGCCCACTCTCTAGCTCCTTCCCATCATCTGATAGTACCATTATCTACAAAACACTGCTACAGTCTTTCCATGGTTCTTGCATCAAGATTTGTTTCACTTCATTTGACAACAGCTTTTCATTAATGTACCTGGAGAAAATGATAGGTACACCTCTTATGCTCTCCTATATGAGATATACTATGCACAATCTCCGTATCTGAAGGTGTTCTGTTGTAGTAAGGCAATCTCTCTGATGCAAGGACCACAGATCAACTCACCACACAAATTTAAATAATGTTCTGGGCAACTGCATCTCTGCAATGACCTTTCTTCTTAGTTTCAAATTCTGAGGAGCTTTCTAGGCAGTATTAGAGAACATTTTACCGTTTAGGCTGCTCTTTTCACTGATGCTACTATCCTCCCCCACCCTCCCGGACACACCTACCACTCGGACAAACAGTAATATCTCACCCATTTCTGATCCGTTTAGCATAAAAATTGGTGCTATATGAAGCTTAGGGTCGGGCAATGACCCACATATCCAATGTCAACCCGGAATGTATCTCAATGGTGTCGGGGAATTGATACAATTTGGTCAGTCGGCTATTTTTAAAAAAATGCATTCGCCGAATACGCTGTAGTCGTTTACACATGGACTAATGCACTTTAGAATGAGCATATTGTGCCAATGAACCCATGTACCATGTTTCATGATATTTGACAGGCTGGTTCCTTTGTAGTGTTGAGTTTTATATTTTGTGTGATCTGGAGTCCAGTCTGTTGTACAGAAGAAGGCACTATGTGTGGTCTTGAACTCATATGGCTATGCTTACGAGCTTCAATTCGACGGAAAAGTACGGTAAGATGGCCATTTTCGGTGTAGGAGCATGTCTTGATTGGAACTGAAGAACCGACTTACAGACACCACTGGGTGAGGTCCAATAATCACTGGAAAAGCTTGCAAAAAATTCAGGAAAGGGTAGCTTCCGGTCAATCCCTTCTAATAAAACATTTTGAGTACATCTGTCTGATTAAAACATTGCCAGGGAACCTTGTTGAGGCTAAACATCGAGAATATTGAAAAAGTATACTTTTGCACACTGACTCCATTGAAGCAAGGCCACCAAGACGGTTTTTGGTCTAGAAATATGAAATATGACAGGAAGCTAGATTGCATTCAGGAGGAGTGGCCTACGAAATTTTACGGAAATCCGTTGGGAGATAGGGGATAGAGCACAAGAACATTCCCAAATCCGACCATTACCTACTACTTGGACACGTGGCCTTGTCCGAAAGAATGGTGTTGTTTGCTCAATCCTCGTCCGTTTTCCTCAAAATAAAGACTTAGACCTGGGTAAAAGACAAATTGCTGACGATCTAGCCACTCAGCTTGGTACTAGCTCAAGTGGATCAGAAGATATTGAAGGTTTTTCCTTAAGTGTCCGGGATCTAGGGGAATGATAGTATAGGTAGTTCCAAGCTCATGCAAGGACCACAGAAAATGCGAGGACCATGGAATGACTGTAGATTCCTGTTCCCGGACGGTGTATTTCTCTGTTAATTTTTGGTGCACTTGAGGTGCAATTTGAAACCAAAAGGATTGAATCAGATGCCAGTTCAGTGCACACACCAGATGTAATTCTGAAACAGAGTATCAGATTAGGAAAATATTCAACTTGAATGAAAACCATCTGAATTGGCTTAGTTTTGGTTCAAATGAAACCCAATTCCATACTATAAGCAAGATATGCCATTGCTCTACTCAGACTTGCAAAAATGGGAACGGAAAAAAAACAATGTTACATTTAATAGTACAATCGATCCAAATGTGACAGTTCTAAATAAAGATATTATTAGTAGTCAGCATTCAATTGGGTTGAGAAGCATGAGATCATAGATGGGGTATCTGAATTGGAAAAACCGACACAAAGTGGTATGAAATGGGATGGGAAAGAGAACACACATTGACTGTTGTCACCTGACTCCTCGAGTTCAGATGACCAGTGCAAGAGAAAGTGAATGGTACCTACTTCTAGCCAGATCTGTAACCAGCATATACATCACCCCTTTATTAAAATTTATGTGTGTCTGTCTGTCCGAAGCCATTTTAAACTCCGCCATCAATCCCCCGGCATCCTCTGATATTCAACCGAAGTAGTGGGGTGCAAAGCACCTCACCGCGCTCTTGTAAGTCATGTAAAAACAAATGGAAAGGAAGAGAAAAATCAACTTTGCTGTCAGGGCTTGTTGCGTGTGTTGAGTTGAGGGGCAGAAGCAAGTCAACTGGGGAGTAAACCGATTCCAATACACCACAAAGAGGACAGTGAATAAACTTACCTTAGCTTTGACTTTTAAGGTGCTGAAACCACTTCACAAGTTCCTCAGATGCAGTCTGATCAAATTGAGGGATACATAATCAAATTCAAAGAGAAAAGGGAATACCAAGATCCCAGACTCAGAGGCCAAAGCACTCATCCAGCCTTGATTGCATTGGCACCAGTTTGAAAAGGATAGAAAAATCAAGTAGCACAAATCAACCTCAAGTCTTATGAGTCTTGTGTATTTGGTCAGGTTGATCTTGATGTCTGCCAGGTGGCTTTGAGTTGATCTTTGGCCTTGACTTTGGAACTGTAGCACTTTGTGGCAGGGATGGTGGGGGAGAAAGTGGAGCAAAATTAGGCAGTCTGTTTTGAGTTGGCTTTTGAAAGCAGAACTAATGACATGAAAGGGACATGAAGGTGTGTCATGGCACACAGCCTATCAAAGGTCTGGAATTGCAGAGCTGGTGAAAAAGGTAATGCCTTGAGGCGACTTCCCTTGGTTGAAATGCAGTTGAACTGAGCCAGAAAGTTGGGTCTACAGAGTGATACTGAAAAATGCTGTTTGACTGGTGAAAAGCCTTGAAAAGCTCGGAAGTGGCAGAGGGTTTCTGAAAATTGTGCAGCAGTGGCACACGTGAATGTAAACAGGTGCATACTGATACAACCCATCTGCTTAATATATGAGTATTTCAGATATCAGCTCAGGTTGTCTGAAGTACAACTAGCCTATAGGTACACAGTGCCTGATATATTGACTCCGAGTCTAAGCAATGGAGGTATAAGTGCAGGTGTATGGTCAGTCCAATGCATCCCGAAATCCGATCTGGTATGCTTGTGTCAGGGGAACCCCTGCTCTGCCACTTTTGGCTCTGTCCTTGGGCCGGTCCTCAGCTCCAGCACTTCAGCTCCCACACCTTCAACTCCATTCTTGGGCCTGTCCTTAGCTCTGACACCTCCGTCCTGAGACCCATCCGCTCTGGCACTCGCCTCGGCCCCGAAACCCTTGGCTCCCATCTGATTCCGCTGCTTGCACTGGCAGATATTATGCGACCAAGCCCGTGATCATTGTAGATACCTCTGGATGCATGCTACTGGGTAGTACCTAATAGTATATAGGTTTTGCCTAGCATGGGAATCCCCATCCTTTCTTCTCTTTGGATTCCCCTGCTAGGTGCATAGTATTCCTGCTCCTGTACTTAGTACCTATATTTATACTTTGGATTTCCCCACTTGTTTCCGCACCCTGAGCTGAGCTTAAGGTTGGCCTTACAGTTTAAGGTGGGTGAAGGTGAAGACTAAATGTGGACGTGACAAAGGCTAGTATGGAATACTACGAGGGACATGTGAATATAATATTTTCATCACTCAATACATTATTTTTGTCTCTAGTGTCTATTCACACCATTCATTGTGTTTAACACTCCTTCAACTCTGTTTCTGCTTATAGCAGCCTGATACTTGATTGGATCATTATCAGAACCACCCCCCTTCGTAGTATATAAACTGCTGTTGTATTTATCTTACTTTGGGGTGAATCCACACTGTATTGACATCTAATGATAATCTTCTCCAGAACTTATTGAATATTTGAACATACCAGTGTTACTAGTTAGCAGATAATTACGATTCCTACACTTTGAATACTGTGAGACCCATTTTTTTTTTCTAGCCTATAAGTTTATCACAGTGAACTTGCATCAGTGAAATGAAGATCTCAATGATCCTCCCACTTATTTGGATGTACCGTGTTATTGGTGAGCAGAAAATTAAAGTGGAGACCAAAAAAGTTCTTGTCTGTGTTGTAAGTTGGTTCAAAAAGTCTAAGTCCAAAATGTTAATTATTGCCTGGTTTATTCCAGGCTGGTAGCCAGTTTGCAATGGTTGCATGGCCTAGTGGTTATGGTGCTTTCTCTCTGATTTCCTCGGTTTTGGAGAGGTCACTCGTTCGAGTCCCCTGGTTGGCACTTTTTCACCTTCAAGCCTTGGTGAACACTGTTTTAGTTCATGTTCAGTTTGAACATGAGCCGTGATTATCCATGATTAACAACCCTTGCTTAAACAGAACCTCCGTACCTCACTAATGCACCTGGCCCTCCCTGTCCCCTTTCATGTGACTAAACAATCAAGGATCAAACCTGATTTTCCGTTGAGACGCAGATTGTTTAATCAAACTTCATATAGATTCTTTCCTCGCTCGAACCACACATACAGTATCGGCGGGACGACTCACCGTCGCCGGAACACTGCGGCACCACCGTTTCACTAACCCCCGGCTTGGCCGCACGCCAAAACGTGCTAACGTCTTACTGCACACACCTGGCGGACCCCGCGAAGACGTGCACCGCCGTACTCGTGTGCAGTACGCGCTGCATCCTCCACCATCACTCTCTGAGTTCTACGAGGACTGCCAGCGTGCCACCACATTTTTCCAGAGAGTTTAAAATCATATGTGGTTGGGAGTATCGTGATCCCTCTTTCTATTTTCATTTCTCCAATCCGTATCTTTCCTCGATCCATTCTTATCTCTCCCAATTTGTGTATATCCTTCTTTCGGTTTGCTTAATTGAACAGCGGCTGACGAAAAGAAAACCGCAGAATGACACTTGACTGCCCGCGTTCAACCCCCCTCTCACTGAAACTCACCGCGCTAAAAACGCGGCCCTTGGACCACACAGGCGTTGGCGAGGAGGTTCATTTATGCTGCATATCCTGCCTCAGATAGCTGTCATCACACATCTTATCTGTGTTCATTCACTGGTCCGCCTACCAATTCTTCCTCAGCTCGCTAACTCGCTCGCTCACACAGATCGCCCCACGCGCACAGGCTTCGGCGGCGCGCCCCGCCCAAAACGCGCAAACTAGGTAGATCGACCTCGAGATCAGTATGGGCGGGCGAAAGAGTGCGTCGATCTTGTTTTGCTCCCGAGTTCATTTACTGACGAGTCGCAGGACAAAATCGATTAGGACCCTCTCCATTACTGCTGGCGCATTCTCAAAGCTGAATGAATACCAAGCAATATAGCATTCCAGTTTATCGGGTTTGTCCTTTTTTTCTCCGTCATTACTACCCTCGTGAGTCGAAGCATTGCTGGCCCAAATTCCATATCAGATTTTTGCAGTCATCCGATGTGTTCGTGACCATCGATGTCCTATCGACGCGCTAGAGACGGGGTGCCGGCTCTCTGCGTCTCTCCTGTGTGTCTGCGAACGCGCCATCTTAAATTTCAACACCATGGCCGGACTGCGGGTTGGGTGCGTCGGCGGCAGACGGTCCATTCAGACGCGCGGCGAGTGTCTCCCTTTCCAATGCCGACCACCGTCTTCCGGTTGCACATCACGTCGCTTCGCCGGGCTGCGAGACTGTACGCCGACACCAGAGGGTGCTGCGGGTCGGTGGAGGGAGCGCCGTTCTGCCACGGCGGACGGTGGACGCACTGAAGGAAGAGTGATCGGCGCCCAGTGGCAGGGGGATAGTACCTTTGGATGCTGCTGAAAGATTTAATAGAAGACCGCAGAGACCAGGATGGTGGAATGTGTTAGAACCTAGATACACTGTATAAGACAATACTCTCAAATGCACCGTGAAGGAGACCAGTCTTATTACCTAGATACGCTGTATAAGACAATACTAAGGTAATAGTGAGTTAGCTGAACGTGTAACTAAGCGTGGAACGTGTACCTCTCAAATGCACCATGAAGGAGACAAGTGAGAGGCGCGACGCGCTGTGTCAACTACGTATAAACAGTTCGTGATCCAATCATTCTCGAGCCGCTCCGAGTACCTCCGCACCTCCAGCAGACGAACGCTCAAGGCTGGAACCAACAGAATGTAGGGTAGCAAAGTCGGAACAGGAGGTCAGTATGCACTCGAGAATGTCGTCGGGAAGCGTGTTGAGGGCGCTTTCATGAGCTCGAGTCGGCAATGACTCGGCATGGCTACCAGAGTCACGGGCGTGACGTCACTTTGACGTCTTGATCTCTCAGACTCTCACCGATGTCGAGCAACTCAAACCAGCAGAAGATCGATGCATACAACGACCTCAGCCCCGAAGCGCGTGCCGCACAACACCAAGCTCATATAACACGCGTGTTGGACTGGATTACAGGCGACGCTCCTCCCCGGACTTGCGAACAGGCACTGGATCTCGTCCGGAGAGTCCCGCCAGTTAAGCTCGGCGGCGAGTCTTGCAAGACGAAGGACATGTCCCAGACAGAAAGGGCCTTTGTACGTCGCCTGCACCGCGTGAAATTGGTCTCCGACTGGATGGACAATGCGGTCGCCGCCGTCGACTTTCGTCCCGTTCTGGTCAACCGCTCTCAGCGATTCGACATGACTTCCATGTGGACGGCAGATCGCGCGCAGCCCCGTGGGCCTGACAGAGTCGAAAATACCGTGGACGAGTTTCACAAGGCGTTTGTACTAGACCCAGCTGCCGCTATCGCAGGAATCATGATTGAAGTGAGGTATGCACCTCAGACGGACGGGTCAGCTACAGATCTACGCGTGGGCGACAAGCAGGATACAGCGGGTGCCGCACGGAACTATATCGTCGCCGAAGACAAACGTGGTAGAGTGTGGCTTGAACACGAGAGTGGAGTGTTGGATCTCCTGAAAGCGGAAACTGTTCCGTGTTACAACAAGGAGGACGACCCTAAGCCGGAGCCCCCAGTCAGGATTTGTGTACAGGTGAGCAGTTCTACTTTTCTGTCGTGCTTCTATTGACGCTTTTAGATTTATATACAGATGCACAAATTTCAAGCTTTTTATGGCAAGATCTTTTTACCATGTGGGGTGGTCTACGTACGCCGCGGTGCCTCAGAGGATGAGCTCGAATTCTCACGCGTTTACCACGATCTCGACGGCGATGTACGCCGCACCGCCTGTCTCATCATCGAGGCCCAACGGCGTCCAAGGGGACAGTATGGCATGTCTGTGCCCGGATTCGTTCGCTCAATCTCGGAAATCTGGCCTTTCCGTGTCATTGCTGCGTGGTTCTATCGCCAAGTATGTATATATATATATATATATATTACAAGTAATTTCTGACCTGCGTCCTAGGTTCTACAACTCCTTTTGCAATTCCAAACATTCTGCGGCACTCCAACTGTGGCTGTTGGGCAGCTCGAAAGCCTCTGGTCCCTGTATAAGGCGCTCTCCCCCTGGCCCCCGTGCGTGCGTTGGATAGTATCATAGATCCGCACTCAAGGTCAACAGGTTGAAATTCCCCATGATTTTCTCAACGCCCCTCGGCACAGGGGCAAGCGGTGATGTCTGGCTCTCTAACGACAGAAATTATGTGATCAAGCTTTTTCTCAACCGGGATGTTGCGGAACACGAGGCCGATATCTTGTTGAAATGTCAGGAACACCTGGGGCCTGCTGTCGCTACTTTCCACGGTCTCTACTCCGATGGATGGCGGTTTGGTGTCGTCACACGCTTTATGGGATCTGTGATCGGCCCTCTCGACCATGCGCCATTGGACCAGAGGTATGGTTTCCATGTTGTCACTGCACATCTGATCTTTGCTAGGCAACAATTATTGACGGCCCTACACAAGCTGCATAGCTGCGGAATCCACCACCATGACGGACAATACCGGACATACACGGGCGGGAAATATCCTAGTCATACAATAACTAAGGATAATCATTCATTACTGTGTAATATCTGCATCACATGGACTGTGTTGGAATCATCAATCATACGAACGGTATCTAGATCGCGGATGGTAAAAATTTTGGGACTGCCAGTTACTGTAGTACGCGTTGAAAATGCGAGATTTCCAGTTAGATCTCAATGCTCATGTGCTCAAATTCAGGATCAGCAGGCCTTCACTCCAACCAGTGAGCAGATAGGGACGTTGAAGAACTACATACATATTGGTGAAGGTAAAGAAATAGGGTGGATGAAGCCGCTCAGAGTGGGAGATGAAGGTTTGGAAGAAGCGCTGCGGTCCGGAAGGCCGCTCGCAGCAACCATCATGTGACAGTCACAGCAAGGGGGTATAAATATGCGAAATTTGCACCATACCTCGAAGTTTTTTTTTCAGCAAAATCGGCGACCCCTCCCCCCCTCCCAAAAGAGGAAATTCCTTTTTGGGAAGTGATGAATTGCCTTCTGGAGGCTTGTGGAGCTTGGTTTGATGTTTGGGACCTTATATGTACACTAAATTGACAAAGTATCAGTTGTGCTAATCATCTCAGGATTGTTTGAACAATTCTGAGTGAAAAGATGTTCAGTGATGGGGTCCCGCTGCCATGTTGTTGCCGAGCCCACATGCTCATTTGCTATATTGGGAAGACCTCCGGCCGATCAATCCCTCATCAATTCCCCGATATAGGAAGAATGTATCCTCTTCAACCTCGACAACCACTACACCAGGCACCTTAAGGAAAGTGGATTGTGTCTCAAAATCACAATCTCTTCCAGATTTTGAGGTGATTTAAAAATTCTGCAATCTGAAGCCCCTTGAGTCACAGTCGTCCTATTTTTACGATGATCAATGCCAGGTGCGTCTCTGCCCAATCTCTCCTACCCGCAAGTAAGTAGCAGTGCGGCAGTACCGAACGGAAAGAGTGAAACTGGAAAAAAGAGCACCTCACCGTCCCGTCCCTAGTCCAGCGCCCGTCGCCCACCCGTCGCCCACGGCGGCGCACGCCCCGGGCCCTATGCTTCACTGTCCCCAAAAGAGGGACAGATGAATGATACAAAGATGCGCAGATGAACAGAACCGTCGCAGACTTAAAATAGGTCCTCATCCAAGGCCCCAGCTACACGCGGTTGTCACCTAGGTTTTTAGCCAAGACAAATGTTTCTACCTCTTCCGAAGATCTGCAACCCACGAAACGCCTTCGGATCTTGAATGTCACTCTCTAATGAACTCAAGGGTACGGGGCAGCATTTTTCAAGACCACGCGCAAATGCAGGAACCGGCCATCAGCGTTCAACGGAATTCTTCTACAAAAG